ACGTCGCCCGCTGGATTGCGGGGGGGGGTTGCCGCGCTTGAGTCAACTTTGTCTTCACATAACTTAAACGTCTGGGAGACTGAAAGAGAACATCGTTTTCTGTTGCTCTACAGCTGAAGCCGTTATAAACTTAGATGGACAACAATTGACCACCTGCAAAAAATCTCTCGACACTTAACCAGCCAATGTCTAATAGAATAAAGGGCTGTACTATGGTCTGATGTTATATATCGCTGACCGTACCTATATTCGTCTTGAGGTGTCAGAAAATACTATGTAAAGAGTAAAACCCGACAATGTTGTTTTCTCCAAAGGTCCCATCCACTTATGACTCCTTGCTGCCAAAAGCAAAGCCAAAAGCTAAGGCAAAAGCAAAAAATAAATAACCACGGCACTGAGCATAATACGAGTATAATCCTTGTAAAGAAAAAACATTTGTATGGCACAAAATTCATAAGCAGTTGTCGACTTCAGCAATTATTAGCATACCACCCGTTGATCTGTATCAGACAGACCTGTGCTCCACTTTCTCTCTTTCCTTTTACAGATGCTTCATCACCGCTGAATCTAGCTATCCTTGCCAGAAAATTGTTCATAATGAGGCCCAGCAAGACACGCTGGGGCCGTGCCAGCGACGAGACTCTCAAGGGCAGTTAGAACAGCTTGGAGTCCCGATCGATCTTCCATAATCGTGATCTGACAATTACACTCAGTTGGTTGGGACATCAAGAACACACTATCCGCGATTAATACTCCATTAATCTTGAACAGTTTGGAGCGCGACTTGAGGTAGCTTTTGATGAACGAAACTGCGCTGGGGGAAAGCCACAACATTTTTGGGTTGTCGCCGTGGTTTCCGGTTTTGAAACACTTTGACGTGGGTACAACCTTAGACCTGGTTAACAGTGGCGTTGCATTGGAGGCAAGCAGGCGAGGGTTCAGAGAAATGGTATTCCTCCAATATTAATGGCTGTATGAAAAATAAGAGGTTGTAGATAAGCAACTCGGTCTTCGGGTGTACCGCGGTAACTCACCTATAACCACAGCAACAGATGAGATACCTGCCGAAAAATCCCAAGACGTCAAGGAAACCAGCAGGAGGTTGCTCTTGGTGTGTTGGTAAGTTTGTTTCTGCATTCAGTTGGGGACCCTGAACAATAGAGGACAATAAGGTCCCCGATTGACAACTGTGTACAAAACATATGGGTGGTCTTCTAAAGAAGTACAAACAAAAGGGTCCCCAGTTGCAGGCAAATACACACTTATAAGACTTAAAGGTTTTCATGGTGAAAGAAACTAGATCNNGAACCGGGGAATAACTCGACGTTTCGAACAGTGTACTCTGTCCGTCTTCAGTCTCCTGAGTACACTGTTCGAAACGTCGAGTTATTCCCCGGTTCCTCTCAGAACCACACATACTCAAAGAAGAGATAAATATATGGTGTTACCGCAATCTTTACTACAGAAATACACACTTACATGTGTGTGTTGGTGGCAGAATGCCTTAACAGTGTGTGTACAGAACTAACGGCCTGCCCCAATTATCTTTATGCTGAACATGAAATGAAAATACTACCACGTCGTCTTTTATAAGAAAGTGACTACTCAAGGTGACTGTGCGAAAAGAGTGTGATGCTTTTTAACAACATTTTTAACCTGACGCAAAAATGATGGACAGTGAATGGCATAAACGCAGACGCCCAGTCCAAAAAACCGCACGCATTTGGAGGAGAGGCAACATGTGGGCATACAGAGTGACCACTGGCCCACTACGAAACCTCACCAGGGCAGGGCTTGTCGGGAGAATCTGGTCATTTCGCATCGACCCACTTTAGCCGCAAAGTGGCGGGAAAAATATCCGAGATCGATGCCACAGCAATTTTCCCGCCCTCCTCATACCGAGCTCTGCCGAGAGGCGATATGGAAAAACATTTGTACAACTAGTGCAAACTTGCTTTCATTATACGCGGGGGGGGGGGATCAAGGTGGACTGAGTACCCAGGCAAGTGCTCGCCTGCCGGATAAATTACATTTAGCGGCGACAAGTGGATCGATACGGCCCTGTTGCCGTTGGCCTAATTATCATCAGTGCGTGCGCGGTTAAGCACATAATGCTTTTATCGTGCACTTGCATGGAGATATGGTGAGTTGGTGTTTGATGTGATTCAGCTGTTCTCGTTACTTTCAGTCTTCCAAATATGAAACCTCCTCGATCACCGCTCTAACCCTGCAATCTTTTTTTGTCACTTAACAACATTTTAGACATTTCGTCAAGGTTTGTACACTTTAATTTTAATTGTTGATCACAGCCCTGACGCCACGCAAGAAAGGGTACAGTTGCTCTTCAACGACAGGATTGCGCTTAAAAATTGCATGTTGCTCTTTTCCTATAGTCAAGTTTTGTTTAAACTGATTCCTTTGTGATAAAGGTCAATGAAAGATCAGTCTTGGTAACTGAATTTTTATTGCTTGACTAATAAAATTTTGTTTTCACTAGGGTTTCCCACTCCCTAATGACTAATGTCCTGACAAGTCACCAGAATGCAGAGCAGAGATCCGCATGTACACTGAGTAGCATTATAATTCAGACTTTAGAACCAAATTTAAAATGGTTGTTCATTATGTGTACAGTACAGCGTGCTACTGTTGTGCACTACCTGTCTGCATGGCGAATGATATCAATATCCACCCATTTGTGTTCCAACCATCACGACACTCAGGTCACAACTCTATAAACAGCTCTGGCCCAGTATATTCAACAGCGCCCTCGCGTGTCAAGGAGCTTCCTACGTCCACCAACTCACAAAGGCAATGGGATCAGTTCATGCTCTGATGTATTACCTCTACGATTCATGCACGTACATTCACTGCACACACGGAAACGTCGACGCGCGTTTGTAGTCAAATAAACTGTATCCAATGAGGATTCAGGGAATTTAGGCTAAGTCATGGAGCCCAAAGCGCGCATCCAAGCGAAAAAACACACACACCCACACCCACACACAAAACCAAAAACAAAAAAAATCGCAAGGCATCGCAAGAATTCACGACCTAAATCAATGCTCGCACAAATTCGGTGTTGAGCCCTAGTTATCAGGTTAATGGTGTATATCCGGTTATCCAATAACACCTCACATAAATTTTCTCCAAGGCCCCTGAAAAGCACAAAGAGAAGGTAACTTTCGGATTGATTAACCATGATGCAAGTATTAAGAAAACCCCCCCAAAGTTTCCAGGAAAATTGTCTGCCAGCGCTCTCATTCTCAACTCAATTAAATCCATGCTCGGGATAAACTGTTAGAATTCTGTGTTGTTGTGTTTCACCCTGTAATGTCACCTTGACACAGCGCCAGTTTCACCATCACTCGTTTCAAACGGCGAAGTCGAGTTGGCGAGAGACTTCTGGTGTAGTGAAGTCGACTTTATTTAGACTGGATCCATTTGAAGTTGTGATTTTCATCGGTGTAGGCCCATAATCCGTCTACGCAGTCACCATTCAATCTAATGAACGTTTACAACTACACTTCAAAAATAAACATGGCTGCCGCCCGATGCTTCCGTAATGTGCTGGTTCTGTGAACTCAAAGCTACATTCAGCGGAGGAAGCTGCAGTTTCAACCCTTATTCAACTAAAGACAATAAACGAATCATCAAATATCGGGTCGGTGTCTCCTGGCAGCAAAAAGCCGGATGAGGAACGATCAGAGCGTAATGTCAGCCACTTTGACCTTTCCCTTCAAAACTGTAATGTCGGTTATGCCAAAACCGATCCGGACAAGACAGAGGGTGACACTTTGAAGTGCAACATCTACTGAAGGCCCGAATTGACGGGGGAGAGGAATAACTTACGTCCAAGCATTCACATCTATGATTCTCTCTTATCGTACTCTAAACAGGCCCTACGCCTATGAGATTTCACTCTTTTAAATGTGGCATGCAACGGAGAAGTAATAGCGACCGGTCCACTTACGAATTTTTGAGCCCTTCAGGCAACATTTGGCAGGTACACTGGACAAATGTTCCGCTGGACTTGCTTTACTGAGAGTGCATGGTGCAGGCTGATAGGCTATTGCAGTTGAAAACAAGAACAAATTTATCACCTGCTGGGAAATGTTTATTTAACTACTGCCAGATCTGACCAAATTGATCGTTTTCATTCTTGAAGAAGGTAACAGGAGGTCCTAAGAAAGTAATCATTGCCCCCGTTTCGAATTCAAAAGACTCCCCCGGGTGTGACGTGTCCACGACGACGGCAGAAAATGGAGGATGAACCACGAACAGGCAGTTAAATTGGTGGGACAATTTGGCCTCGCACATGGCATGTTTTTGCTTACAAATACGCTGTCATTCTCACGGAAAGGAAACGGGTAAGCCTAGTACGTCAGAGCTGGAGATAGAGAAAAACAGTAAATACTTTTTGTTTACTTGCTTAACGGGAAGAAGGTCTACGTGTTCTGTAGGGTGAGTCGCATCAGCGTAAGCTGACAAAAAAGCATTGAAAAATACGTAGTCGAGACATTCTGATCTGAGCTATATAAGAGCAATAATAAACGACTCATTAAAACCGACTGGATTTTCCAACGATGGTGAGCGCCGTTTGACCATAGATCTGTTCCTGCACTCTATGGTTTGACACGTCCAACACCTCGTACCACCTTAACGACGCACGCAACACTGCAGTGCAAACCAGGAAATGATTTCGCGGCAAGATAGCGACGCCGGCCACCGAAACGAGGACTGCATTTGAGTCGCTCACGATAACATCAACGGAGCCAGACTGCGAAGGTTAAACAACAGTCCGCCATATCTTTGCCTTGCTCTTACCGCACCTGCTACCGAGATAATACCGGCTCGTCGATGAAGACAAGAGCGAGCCGTGCCGGTGAGTGGAGGCGTGTCTACCGGCCCTCACCAATCAGCGCTCAGGCCGCGCGCACCTGTGGCATCGTCGCGCCGCGAGGATATTGTCACTATATTTTCCACAGCCGTCGCCAGCGCCCCTCATTCCGGATTAATACAGCCTCATCACCAGAGATCGAGCGCGAGCAGTGATCACAGCGTCGGGCTGTATCATTGACGGTCTGCTGCGTGTGCGCACGACTCAAAAGGCGGACTTGGGTCTGGCGGCGGAGAAGTTAAAATGCCACGGTAAAACAGCACGATCGCTCAGACTGACAGGTGACGCCACTTTTTGCGACGAGGAAACAACGGGCCCCAAGATTTCTGCAGATCGAACCGAGCGAGGATTGGATGCTTGGGTGATGTGATTGTCTCCGTGCTGAATCGTGTCAGCTAGGATATGAATGGTCTCAGTGTTGTGAGACAGCACTCTGACTACGCCACCCCCGGGGCTACACAGGATGGGGCATAACGGGGTTGTGATAACGGCAGACTCTACGAGCAACACGTAAACGCCAAGAGTGAGTTCTGCAGTGTTGAGTTTGGAATTTTTTACGCTGGTTACCTGAAACCTTCAGAGGAGAAAAATCGGCTTTCATAACAGGTATTACTCCGTGTCTGAAACCATTCACCTGATTTTGAAAGAGCTGCCAAACACGAATTTATTTCAACTTTTGGCCATCACAGATTATGCTACAAATTGAACCTTTCCCTTGAGCAACTGCACCAAGTTTGAACATTGACTCTAACTCTTGACCGCCCACATCGGCATTGTGATTTGAAATACCACTCTTTGTGTCAAAGAGTGTCGGGAGTGAAGGGTTTGGTACTTTAAAAGACTTTGGAGAAGCCGTTTTGAGTGCCGCTAGAGTGCGCCGGATGCGTGGATTGATTTGATGATTAGTGTGTGCCGTGTGTTGGTACGAAGAAGGTTCTTGGAACTACACGTACCAACCCGCGTGTGGTCCTCTTACGAGCATACGCAATACGCCTATATGTACTTTCCTATTCACTCAGTGTACTAAACACAGTAATACAGGTTCTATAGAAATTGACAGTTTCTGACAGGATTGATTTCTCTCTCGGAAAACAATTGGAAAGCTGTTTCAGAATACTGGGAGAGCTGTTTCCGGGTGTGAAAGACATTTGATGCCAATGCGTCATGGATTTCTTCAACTCCACGGTAAACTGGACAACGAACAGCACAGAAATGACCCCATCCGTCACCTTTCCTTTCCCACCCAGCGGATACAACATGGCCCACATCATTGTGTGGAGCATCGTGGTGGGCTTGATTGTGGTCGGCATCGTGTTCGGGAACTCGCTTGTCTGCATATCCGTCGTCCGGGTGCGGGCGCTCAAGGGCACCCAGTACCGGTTCCTAGTGTCGCTGGCCCTGGCTGACTTGATGGTGGGCATTCTCATAATCCCCCTGAGCATCACCAACGAGCTCCTGGGCTGCTGGGTGTTTGGTACCTTCCTCTGCCTCATGTGGAAGGTCGTTGACGTGTTGGCCTGCACGGCCTCCATTCTTAACTTGTGCCTTATCAGTCTGGATCGCTACTACTCCATCACCCGGCCCATCAAGTACGCCAAGTGGCGCACACACCGCCGCGCGTATTTCATGATCGGCGCGGTGTGGACGTTGTCTTTCATCATCTCCGTACCTCCGCTGTTCGGTTGGAGGAACGACGACAGAACCGTCAACGGATACTTTCTGTGCGAGGTGAGCAAGGACCCTGGCTACGTACTCTACTCCTCCATGGGCTCGTTCTTCATTCCCGCGATAGTCATGGTTTTTGTGTACATCCGTATATGGCGGGCGGCAAAGAGACACGCAAGGACGAGTCTCGGGCAGGGCATCGGCGACCCCAGGCCAAGCCAGGCGGGCAACTGCGGCCGGTCCACGGCCTACGAGCTGGTCGACACGGACGAGGCGTCCAGCCAGGCGGCCAGCGCCATGCTGCGGTTGGACAAGAACCGCAACAGCCAGAACGAGGGTAGACGGTCACCGCAGGAGCTTCCCGGCGATAGAGACGGCATCCGGCGATTCGCGAATAATTCCATGCTGTCCCCAAACTCGGCGAGCGCTGACCTACGCCGGAGGACCTCATCGTGTGACTACCGCGAAGTGGAGAGGAAGCGTCGGAAAGTGGCCCAGGCACGCGAGAGGCGAGCAACGGTGGTCTTGGGCATCATCATGGGCAGTTTCCTTGCCTGCTGGTATCCCTTCTTTCAACTCTACACCATCGACACCGTCTGCGGGAAATCGTGCAATATACCGACATTCCTCTTCACGTTTGTCTTCTGGATCGGCTACTGCAATAGTGCACTGAACCCACTCATATACACGATTTTCAATAGAGATTTCCGCAAGGCTTTCAAAAAAGTCCTGGGCATTGGACGATGAAAGTCAGCGCCAGGAACAGACTGGGAATCCTAAAGTAATTACAGTGGGAAAAATCACAGGCTTGACATTGAAATGATGGTGCTTGACTGACAGAACGAGGATGTCCGCGTATGTCGTAGCACCATTTCACTACTTTGCATTATTACTTAGTGCGGAGTGAAATACTCTACAAGTGCACCCCATTTTCATTCGGTACATGTACATCTCTATGTAATCTAAGCATATAGGTTTGCGTGAAAGCAACTTTCACTTCTTGAAATTTCAATAACTACATGTACATGTAAAATTGTACTCAATATGCTCGTATTTTTTGTCAAAAATATTGAGCCCTTAGCTGTGTGTCGGTGCCAATGCTCTGAAACCAAGAACACGCACTCATACTCGAAGGTGTTTTTCTTACTGCTGATATTTCGAGCTAAATGTAATGTATTCTCTATAGTTTTTTCTTTGCAAAATGTTCCATAGACAAACTTTGGAATCTCTGCGAAATTATAACATGAAATTAGGTAGGTGCCACAATAATTAGCCTGTCGTTCAGAAGAAAAAAATTAAACACATTCAACCCGACCTCCCGCCCCATTCCCCGCAAAAATCCGTACTTCCCCCTTCGTTATGGCCTCTCTTTTTGGAATTTTACTCTCTTAATCTTTGACCGCCATCATTTATCGGTCCATTATTGCCGTTCACCGCTTTCCACTTTGGTTCCGTTCCATTTAAGTCTCTCTCCCCTCCCCCTCTCTCTTTCTCTCGAAATCTCGGCACTTTGGAAGGGGAACACATCCTAGTTTAGGCCTAATAGTATCCTCTGGCTTCTGCCTTCACTTGAAATATCGGGGAGAATCTACGTACTCGGAATGGGAGATTGATGAGGTTTTTCTCCTGCGAATGTAAGACAGGGAGAAAGAGAGAGAAGTATAGCGACCTGAATCCTGTGCGAAACACTGCATTAGCTGGTATGCGATTGCTGTTGGGAAGTTTATAAACCCCTTAACGGATTTGTAACAAAAAAGCCGCGGTTCGTTTTGAGCGAATGCGAAAATGTTTGCAGCCGAAATATGGTTACCATTGTGTCAGATGGAGTAAGACTTCTCTCTCTCTCTCTCCTTCCCCTTCCTCCTGATAATGGAACATCAATGTTAGCCTGCGGTGTCAAAAAAATGTCTGGGATCATGTAAGGCACATTTGTCCCCCCGAAGTCGTCATTGATTCAGGCAGACGTGCACTTAGAAAATGGCCAGGGGAGTGCTTGTGCGGAAAGATCGGTCCTTCGTTTTGCCAAGCTACGCCGCAGGTCTGGGGATCGGAAGCATCGAGTCGAAACCAAACAACAGAAAATATCAAATTCGTACATTAGCTTGTGCGTAAATAGCAAAGACACATGCTGTTCGGTGACGGTAATCGGTCAAAATATTCCAAAATGAAAGGCGGCGAGATTATCAACCGGGGGGGAGGGCTCTCAAATTCACGGGACAAAACAATTTTTATTGAGTGGTCGGATCCGTCTGGAGCTAACTGTCCACTGGGAGTAATGGTGGATGGAAGGTGCTTCGGTTTTCATTCACGGGTTCCCCTTTCTGGGCCAGTGCTGAAACTCTGTGACAGAATGTTGTTCTTTTTCACCAAAGAATCGGCTTGAATTTTGCGCTCAGCTATATGCTCGACAATGCCACTTGGGAATTAAGCGGAATATATTGATGTTTGCAACGTTGACGTTGATTTTAAATTGGGGGAAAAAGTATAGTCGGGAAACACACCTTATAAGTCGTTCTTTGCTTCCAGTTTCACCGAGGTGAAAAATGTCGCAACAAAAGGTCTACTGAAGCTATCAATTCAGGCCACTGTTCCCATCGACACACAGTGTAAGATATAACGCTTCTGTCAATCGCACAAAGCAAAGAAAACATATTAGGACCGCAGGGATTACTTCCATCTTCCTGGATTAAACAGGCGTTCGTGACGCAGACAGGAACTGGTAAAATCTGTGACTGTTTAGGCAACGGAAAACAAGACAGGTATTTAACAAAAACACAAGATGGCTTTGGGCGCGTTGAGTTTCGTTCTTCAGTGAAAACACCCATGTGGCCGCGAAGGCATTCTCGGCATCAGTTGCCGAATTGGACGATTGCTGATCACCCGGTCGACAGGGAAAACAGACCTTGGGCGATCGCCGTTGATGGGATCATCTTTTGATGTGGCCCGCCTCCGTGTCGGACATCGGCAAGCAGGGACATAGGGGAGCCGATCGGTGCGAGATTGCCATGCATGACGCGAAGACCGGGCAGTATGGCCCGAGTTGGTGACCCCTCTGTCGTACATGGGAATGCGCCATGCAGTACCCGGGCGTGTAGCAGTTAAGATCGTGTTCAATCGGCAATGACAGGCCAACAACCTCTGAACATCGCCTCGAGTATTGATATTACCAGCGAAAGAACGTAGCAAAGTGCCGTGAAGTTTGGGGCAATCCTGCGCATGGTCTTGCATATGCAAAAAAATTTCTAACTGAAAAAAATCCCCCTGATCAGTCACGATCGGTATTTTGTATGTAGTCTTTTAATTCCCCCAAACCAGTTGGTGTTTTTTTAACTCGAAACTTGTACAAAATTTACGGCAGAAATGAACTCATGTTGAGAATCCGATATCCATTCGCCAAGCAACAGTCATTCGCTTTTATGTACTTTTGTTTACCGCTTTGGTAGCTCAAGCAAACAATAAGCAAGACAAACATCTGCTGAAAAATATCCTCACTGTCCATGGAGAGCTGGCCTATTGGCATTGTTATGAAATTGTTTATTTTTGTTAAATTGAATTGTTCTTTTTCTTGGAATACGTTTCACTTAGAGTCTTTTTAAAACAAATTCTATTTACAGTTAGGGATTAATCCTGTATATGAATGTGTTGCATTTGTTTGCCAAGAGAAGTGATTCAGTTTGACTTCCTTGGAAGTCAGTCATTTTATTGTAATAATTTCTCCAATTTAATCGATTGTGGCATTTATCCCTTGCAGCTTTTCATATCCCTGAGTTGCTTTAAGTTATTCACCGAGCGGAGTCTTTCCCCAGTTTATGTTTAATACGTCACAGATACGTCAATGTGGAATGAACATGCTCAGTTTAGAATCAGGCGACTCGGGTGACGTAGCAACCCCCCCCCCTTGCCTGCCAAACGAGAAATTAAAGTCAGTTACGAATTCCCCGCTTGTGCATTAAGGGTAAAATGACTTTAACAAGGACACTTTGCCCCATTTAAAAAAGACTGTTAGCTGTGTTCCCCCCAATGGTGTGGCATTATTGTAAAAGAAATTGAGTCACGAAGGGTTTAGTCAAACAAAATTACGTCGTCTTGCTGGAGAAAGACAAGTTACATGGTTGTTGAATCTGTGGCAGTAATGTCTGGTGTTAGTGAATTCGTGTGCATATACAGTTGTCGCCTGTATAATCACCGCAATATGTTATCAGGGTCGTCAGAGGGGTGATTCTTCGGCTTCGAGCTATTGCGCGCCCGCCTCAGAGACGATGTAGGATTTTATAACAATCGTTAACCTGATCGACTGGCTGGTGTGAGAGGCAGATTGGAGTGGTTGTCAACATACAACGTGTGCACTTTGACAATTAGTCATCTGCGTAGGTCGCCTCGACTGTCAAAATGCAGATGATGATGCATACACCCTGCTCGTCGCGTCATGCCGGCCAAGTCCGGCAAGTTTTCAAACATGCTTGCCCGGATGTGTTTAACAGGCTTTACAATGTACAAAGCGCCAAGGAGACGGTGAACAGTATGCACACGGTTTTGATCTGGGATCATCATCAAACGCCATTCTTTTAATGCCGCGTTTGCTATTGTAATGGAGTTTTACGTTATGTAACTTCGAGTCCTCTCGACCTGTCCGCTTTATGACAGATCTGTTTTACCCGCAGACACGGACCTATTCGCCGTCACAATTTGCCAAATAAACATCCATTCATTTTGTCCTAAAGGCGATGTGGGTACCACCCAACCGTATGACGTGTTTACATAATCCACAAGATGTTGACATTGCTGGTTGTACAGTAAACCTTGCATTCTGAACTCTGTTATAACCAAACTGCGGATGGACACAATATTACCATCCATCATTGAACACATGAATGTACCTGTATTTTCAATTTTTTCAAATTCAATTTTTTTTTTATATGTTACAATGATATCTTTCAGTTCCGATCTGATATTCATCTCAGAAAACCTCGTATTTATAAATTCCAGGAAAGGTCACGTGAGAGTTGGCTAATATTACTGGGCTACAGGCATAGTGTTAATCATAAATTGTGTACCCAAATGGGTTGGAGTTGTGAAGTCCGGTAATATCTGGAAAAAGGATTTCATTTTTATTCGGCCGGCATTTGACTCACTGCTGGTGATGAATAAGCGGTACAGGTCGACTCTTTCTCCAGTGTTACACGGACAATAGCCAGCCACCGGCTATTTTGTATAATCGCCAATTAACCCCTCCTTCTTTTTACGGGCCACCAACACATCCGTCGGAGTTATTTATACCACGACTAATTTGTCACGTGCGTATATTAATAGAGCCATGGTCGACACCGCTTAGGGAAACTTACCGTTGATCTGTCATATCTAAGCAAACACGCTTAAAAGCTTTCTTGTGTGCCCAACACACATCAAATGATCAATGTGTGGAAGTATTTTCCCGGGTTGGCAGCGTGATATTGACAATAAGTAGACGGTCGATTCGATGATAATTCTTGCAACATTTCTATTCCCGGCCCACCTGACTGGGCTAATTATGTTATCACCATTCATCCTTCAATAATTTGTTTTGATATACAAATGTACACGACGCCGTTTTATTTCAGCGATTGACCAAGTTTGAGTGACCCCCATTAATTTTTTTGTATACTCTTTACCAAATCTTGCTCTAGCGTTATTTGGTTATGGAGCAGAGCCCAGTCGGTATGCGGACAACGGACGTCCAAACTGACGCAACCACTGAGACTTACACAGACGGTCCAGCAGATACACTCACAGACAGGTGACTAACGAACCCTCAAAGAACTCACCGAAAACAAATGACTGCTTTGAACTGAACAATTATCAGTCTTGATTCAGCCAAAACTATAAAAAGGACGATTGTGTTGAAGCTATATTTGCGTTCCAATAAATCTACTTGCTATTACTATTTTTTGCTGAAAATGGCAAAAATTCAATGAGGCAAATGGAATCAATAATCCCTGGCACTTGTAGGATGTGTCTGTAATGTGTGCCACTCCTTTACCTCAGAACTTTATTTTGCCTAAAGACTTCAGTTACACATGAAAGTGGTTTTTCCTCCAACATAAGTCTGGCATGTTCATGAAAACCGTAACAGACAATTCAACTTAAGCATTAAAAAATGCTTTCTTCACTTAAACGTCTTTCTTTAATCAAAACTTGATAGTTTTGCCTTGCTAATAAAAATATCACCGACGGACAAAAAGGTATAGGCCTAGATTATTGTGACGGTACAAAAAAAACCAAAACAAAACTAAACCAATAAAAAAAAAAACACCCACGGACAAAGTTACGACGATAGACACTCTGGCCGGTGCTTTGCAATAGGTAGTATATAATTGATTAACTTTTGCCCCGGTTGAAAGCCATCCCCTTGAATATTTGACACACATGTTGGTTGAAAAACGACTGGGAAGGAATGGGGTTAATCAATGAAACGCACATCCATTCTCGCCCAATTTTTGTTTCGGTTGCAATAGTGTATCGTTGCTATCCAATTAAAACTATTCCGCGACTTTTTTTGAGAGAGGTTGCAGTGATTTCAGCAAGCGCATTAACTATGGCTTTCTTAGGTTAAGGCTCAACGGATGATTGCGAAAATACATGTGATTTTTCCCATGGATTATATTTTACTAGAATTCAGTTACTCTTTGTAAGTTTTGACCAATGTATCAACGAAGCGTGGAAAAGTGTCACTTATCTAGTGTATACATTATTCCAAAAGTTTTTTTGGGATTGAAAAAGGTCCAACTTTGTCACTTCTTTCTGAAGGATAATCATGAAATTGCGTAAAAACAGAGTCGTGGACAATTTTAAACAAGTACATTATTAACTTAGCTATATCTGAATGATTACATGGTGTTAATTTCGTTGTCTTTTTGCAACTGTTCGAGGACAGAGTGAAAGTCGTTTATAAGTAGTATTCGTTGGTTCAGTACTCCATTATCACTCATTAACGTCCATAACAAAACTACGCTTGGATCTGCATTTGGATATTTTTCCTTGTTCTATTTTGCTTTGGGAAATACTTCTTCTTTGTTTTCAAGCATTTCATATTTCGCAAAGATATTCTAGTGAAGGCTAAACCATTCAGTTATTGAATGTAACCTGCAATACAATTATGCATTCCACATTTAGTTTTGGCATAGTCTCCTCGGTAACTCAAGTGGCGGCAGGAGTCGCGAGGATTCGAGAGGTAATCGACAGATCGTGTAGTTTTTTCTAAGAAACAATTTCCTACCAGGTACAGCTCACTGTGTGTCACTAAATACTAGTCTATGAACAGACATATCATTGTCAGTTAAGCCTCATTTTCTTACATTCGTTTGGACTGACCTTAGCCTGGCGTCCAGCCAACATTTCTGTGCAATTGGCACTTTCCAACCAAAGTACGAGTAATCAGGAGTAGGCTTTAGAGATGCCAGGTTTGTTTGAGGGATAAAGATCGGTTTTGAGGATTAAGATACGATGAAAATCATGTGGTGTTTACGGCCAAAGACGCTGATCTGGTAGAGAGTTTCTGAGAAATTCAGGTGTCCAATGAAACAACAATGGAAACTTCAGCGCAGTCTTGTAAAGCTGAAGAGCCGTATACCTCCACATGCGATTAAGATTCGATAAGATGGCTGTTGCCAAGCTTTTCAGCTAAGGTAGCGACTGATGCATCGTCTCCCAGAAGTACAAGCCCGGAGCTTGCCGTTGCTCCAATCTCATGACAATACTTCGTGACTGAACAGCCATCTTCTTAATTTTGGCCAGCCACATAACGATCTCTCCCCAACCTTTCCTTGATAAAGGGCAAAGCACTAAGGTTCAGCGGGATCCAGCTCTCTATCTCTCTCGCGTGAATTCATTTTTGTTGGCATGTGTGTAATCATCTTGCCAATGTACTTTCCACTTCCACAACCCTCGACTCAGACACCGAGCGTACTACGATTTCCAAGGGTCGGAGAACCATTTCAGATGCAACGGTTAAAAAGCATATTATACAGACCCATCTGGTTAATAGTACAACGAAAGAAAACCGTGATCTAAAATCCATCTTTTCAATAACTGCCATGGATTTGTAGTACTTATATATTCCCGCTGTTACTTTAATCATTAACATTTTGTTTGCATTTTCCCTTGAAGGATCTCGTTATTGATACAGAACACACAATCTCTTGGTGAGGGTATATAGTAATTATCCTGTATTGTTCATCTAACGTCCACGCAAGAAATTAGATGTTAATTACTCCCTCTTGCAATGTCCTGAATGTTGATAACGCTGATTTCAATTTGTGCAGTTATCTACGCCATTTTGTTCTCTACAAGCTTGAAGGATGCCGCCTCTCTGTGTTGAAATAATTGTGGCTGTGCGTTTGTACACGTGCGTTAAATAAAGAGTAGCTGTGGAAAAGCAATATCAAAGCTATTGCGTTATTTGTGTGTTGCCTCGGCCGTGGTCCAAATACTGAGTCAGAATGTTTGTGCTCTAGCCAATTTTGTATGCGTACTAGTCATAAATACAGCCGAGAGTAAGGATGTTACGTCTATTAGTTGATCCAGTGTTGTCATCCAACCTTTTGATCAAGTTTCTGGTATACGTAGATGATGAGTTACTTTTTTTTCTAAACAAAAGTAGAGAAAAGGCTGCGCAGTAAACTAACGGATTATTGCTTCCTTAATGAAGTACGGATGGTAGGTTACACGATGATTCCGTCCAGCATGACAGTTGGACTACCTGATCTGAATCATAATTCTGAAGTATTAAGGCAATGCGACTTCTTTGCAAAACCTTGGCACATTCAGGGGAACTGCGTGGCCCAGCATTTTCCCGAGCGCTAAAATCTGCAGAGAAAACGTCAAACTGAAAGGCAAAAAACCGTAGTACAGTGAGAAATTTACGGGAGACAGTTGTATCCAGTTCGTGGTGCTTTATAATAAACGAAGGCAAAGTGGTGCATTGAAAGTTTTGAGCGGAGGTATTCTTAAGCAGGATTTGAAAGTTTGCATGGTGGAATGAAAGAAGGCTTTCGGTGGTTCTAAGACCAACGGTGGTTTGGAGTGCGAACCCGACGTCTCGACCAGGATGCCCTGCTCGTCGTCAGGTGGGGTGGGGTTCTTTCCAGGATTACAGTTCGTTTTCAAACTGTGCTGCATAGATAAGCTCGGTTAAAATGTAAGAACTTAGACGTCAGTGACGACCCGTGCAAACTTAAATTGATCTTGAGGTTTCTCTTTTAAATCTCCTGGAATTTGCTATGTTTATTTAGGTCAATACCGGTGCTTTACCCCAGCTGGAAAATGAGCAGTTGGATGCACCAAAGGCTCTCTTTTTTTTTAGCTGTACTAAGTTCTTACCCACATTGAATCACACATGAAGCTAGCCAGCCTAGCGAAGCTTTCATCCAAGGGGTGACGAGGCATCGTTTGAAGGAGAACCTCGGGAGGTGACTTGCATGATGACAAAAAAACATCAATGTACCAGAAGCCACTTACTTGTTTCACTTATTGATGAGCGCGGGCTTTCGCACTGCCGCTCTCCTGGAGGTGTTCGGATCTCAGTGCGCCGAATTTGCCATGAGATATCTACTAAAAACACAGGGTCTCATGCGAGCCAGCATAAACAAACTGGGAAGCTTGCGGTGTTCCTCTCTCTAAACATAAAATCTACTGCGGATGAATGCCTCCTACAGGCTCTGGTAACTCCATCAAGCGGCGCTTTGGGGATCCTATTTATTTTGTCTTTAAACAACACTTCTGTCCAATCTTCACTCTTTCTACTCCAAAGCCAGGAAAAGTTATCTGTATGCCGTGTCTCGTCCTCCGGGCTCCTCCTTAGACTCGAAATTTAGAAAAGAAACTAGATATGCGTCTCTGAGGCAAGAGGACTGAAATATTCATTGGGTTTCAGCAACTTTGTTCGGTACTCCAGAGAATACGTACCGGAAGCATGTAGTCTGCCCTTCAGACGGAGAGTCTGTAATTTAGATGTCTGCTTATACATTCTAAAGGTGTCATCGGCCACTCTGTTAACAATTTCTATTTCATATTTTCACTGTCCTCGACAATCAAAGAACCACGGGCAAAAATATTTTAGAGTAGAAATAACGTTAAGAATCAAACTGCTTGGTGCAAAACTTTGGTTTTGTTTCGGTTTGATTTTGTTTCTCATCGGTGCATGATAAGCGTTGCTTTTCCGAATATCGGGTGATGCTGTCCGAACCGATTAATTCAGCCAGTAAATGTCGTAGGTAACTAAACTAAGCTGTTTGACAACTGTCGTGTCGGAAAAAAGTCGACTTCTGCTTTGGGAACTGTCGTTAACTTGCGTTGATTATCTCATGGAGAAAGGAGTCATGATTATCTGAAGTTTCTGCCAGATTATCAGTCTAATGGACATTTTACTTTCGTCGTAACGAAGGTGGAGTGGCTGCGGATAAATTAAAACGGATGACTGATTTGATTGGTCAAGCCTCGGCAAAGGCGCTATCGGATAACGACGTCAACAACGATACATGACGGTGCCTTGTTATCATAAAGACATAGCTTCATGAGTTCACCGATATACAAGATAAGAACGTTTAGACAAGGGAGTCTTAGGCGGGCGCCACTTTGTCAGGGCGCTTCGATATTAAACTCCTATTGAAGCGACATGCAAAGATACAATGCCACGACTCTCCCTTCCTTCCCCGGAAGCCTCCTGCTCGTCAACCTAACACTGCAAAAGGTTGTCAAGGTTTCTTAAAAACGAGGCTGATCGATGCACCTTATGGATCGATTGCATATACTCTACATTGATACTCCATACAGGTGCGAAGTGGGAATCAAACGCCTGTTGTTGGCTCAGCAACCGAGAAATGTCCATGCACATGATTGATTTTTATGTATCAATAGTCACACGTGGTTGATTAACGACTTAGGGAATAGAAATCCTTTTTAAACATGACACAGTTTATACTATCTGTATTTGCAAACACAGGTGTTTAAGTACATACTAAAATAAAACTGACCTCATGTAATGTAAAGACAAAATATGGCCGGCATAATTCCATGATAAGGGCAATTGCATGAATTGGTAAAGCAAATTTCGATTCATTGATAATCAATTAGTGTCGGGTTGCCAATTGTAATTTTGTTATTGCGTCTGTATTAAGAAAGTAGTTTAAATCATACTGCTTGCTTCTCACCACACCACAACGTTGGCACTGCCAGTACAAGCTTTGAAGCCACTAGACCTACGCTCGCCAAATGCTATTGCATTGACAGTGTTTGCTTCTGAAACAGGCTGGTTGCGTCTGCAAACTTGCGATGGGTCACTTCTGCGAGCAACTCTGTTTGTAGGTGAAGTTTTTCTAGCGAAGTTGCTGTGAGAATCTTCACCGAAGGCTGGTTCACACTCCAGGCGAACGCAGCGGACTGGACGTCACAGAGCATTTTTAGTGAAGTTCGCTCGATTCGAAATGGAATGGGACATTGTCCCTGCACTGGTCTGAATTAAGTTTAACTCATGTCATATTGTTTGTTTATTTTCCATGACGCAACAGATTCAATGATCAAAGAATTCTTAAATTTTGCTTTGAGTTTACAGGCAGTAGTGGTAAGCCTAAAAACGACAGATACAGAGTTCGGCCGGCATTTTTCTCTGATACTGCCGCTGCACAAATTTTCATTATGCCCGCAAGAGAAATTGCTGATTGGTCAACTGATGTCTTGGTAATACGTTGAGCCACTCATTAAAAAGTAAAAATGGCTGAACGGATGTGGTGCAATAAAATCTGATGTTTTCTTTCCGGTAATGACAGTGACAATTGTAAGTGGCTTCCTTGTATTTAGGCTACAGTTTTGTGGACTGTTCTGTTTAGGCAACAGCTGTGTGGACTTTGGTTTAATTAATGATGGATGTCAATCTGTAACTACGTGCAAGATTTCAATTAAAAAGTCATCGTCTGCCTAAGTTTTTTAAAAGACAGAAAAAATAACCGGCTCTTTTGAACTTAATACATTGTAAGTTACAACAGAGTATTTAACATACTGTTCCGACATATGGATTTTCATCTGATATATTCGAGTATTTTAATCAAACCACTTAGAATGGAATGTAGTACTCTCGAGTAGATGCTCATCAGTACATGTCATTCAGTAAGTTACCAAACTTCTTGCGTAGACTGCATGCAGGTTTTCTTATAACTATGACCTGTCAACAACTCTTATATATCACTAGTATATCGGGGCGGATCCAGAAATTTTGCCGGGGGGAGTCAGGCCGGAGAATTTTTTTTTAAATGTCTCATTTTTGCAGACAAGCGAAAACAATAATGAAACATTACATGACAAACATTGTTTTACAATGGTATTGATGAACACATCAGAAGAATCTGCGGGGTGCTATCTTGTTTTTATATGTACTATGTTATTTTTTATTACTATTTTCCCCACTTTTATCTTTTTTGGCTCAGAGCTCACCCCCTATAGGTGCCCACCTGTATATTCACCGTATTGTCAGCCATAGATTATTTTGTCCCTCATAGGTTTTAGGATATAGGAGTTTTTAGCTGCACGTTGACATAAACTGGTTATCCCCCACATGACAGATGTTCAGAAGAATAAACACTCACAATGACTTGACATGCCCACAGCCTTTTGCGATATAATTTCACAAGCCTTTCACTTTACAGAAAATTCAAATTAATGGATCGCTGTGACACGTTGGATGTGAAGCATTCTTCAAGAAAATGAAATACCAGAAAGGAGAACAGTTGATGATTAGGCTTTCAAAACACATACTTTGGACGCAATAATCAAAGTGGTTGTCAATGGTTCTACGCTCTACGGCGTGGATGAAAGATATCGGGTGCGTCGCTGGCACGAAATTGACGGCTTGAGACGTATCAGGGCCATTGTGTACTCAAGTTTGAATTATGATACCGCCATTAGAAAAGTACATAGAAAGCGGGCAATCAGACGCACTCAAGGTTTGAACAAGCATTTCCCACGTCAACCGAGGCACATGACAAACAGATGAGCAAAGTAATTGCCTGATTGGATCCCAAGTCAGGTCACATTCTCTATAATATTAGGCTTTACTCTCTCAAAAGTAAACAGCTTATAGTCTTCAGGCGTCTTTTTGATTTGAAAACGGCGACAACTACGTCATTTTGTACGTCAAGTATGTTTGGTGGTGACACAATACAAGTGGATCGTCTTCGTGTTTGATGATTTGTGACTCTTTCAAGCTGGGATCGTGGGAAGCTGTGATGACTATGTTGTGACTTAATCTCATTTATCCAAATCCCTTCCACTCCAGCAAAGGCTGTCTTTAACGGATTCCACCACAAACCAGGCTGTTGTCAGCGCGGTAATTGAAGACATGCATAGTATTTATGTTGCAAATAACGTAATGCAA